AAAGCCAAAGCCAAGAAAATGGTTATGTTGCCAATGGTGTCCCTAAACTTTTTTCCTTCTACGATGTGTCCAAATGGTGTAAGGAAAGTGGAAGAAATGAAGGTTAAGATGGAGCTTTAATGGAGTTTACAAGAGGAAGCAAGGAAGAAGAAATAGATTAGGAGAAAAAGTGGTATATGTAATATGATATACATCACAAACACATACCTAAGCAGTACTCTCTCACACATATCTCCATCCTCTACTTGTCCACCATCTAGCTCTCTATATGCCACCAACCACACTTCAACACATGGCCCAATCAACACATGACATTTGTCCTAACTTTTCCTGTTTGCACAAAAGTCTCTCCAAGTTTCAAAAGATAATTGCACTCGTGCCCCAAATGAAAATATCTTCAAAGATATTCATATAAAGATCCAAAAAAATGAAAATGTCCTAAAAACATAATCGCATAAATACCCCACATAATACAAATTAAAAAGCATACAAGTGCTATGCAATTATATCATGTTACGAGGGCTGTTGAGGCTGAAATTCGCGCAGTCCGATATGATACCGTTTTCCTGCAAGGAAGAGAGGAGAAGATCGATGAACCTTGACGGCAACGGTGTGGTGCCTGCCAAGAGCTCTCCGACGATCAAATTAGTCACGGAGGTCTAAAAAGAAGGCAGGGATTAATAATAGTTTTTACGTCGTACCTTCTTTATGGCTTGATGCCCTATTTATGGCTGTCGATTGGAATCAAAACCGTTCCGCTGATATCGATGGTTGACCTTATCTTTCGCTTGTGCAAAATCATAAGAGATTTATTACCAGATTTGTCGGGATATGATTTAATCCTTTTGACCTCCTCTAGTTATAGTAGGATTATTCTTACTTGTTGAACCACGTCAGATTTGATTTCATTATCCTTGATAATGAAATCTAATCAATCTTATCGAGGGTAGGATAGGTTTATATTTTTCCCTATCAGTTGCCCCCCATTCCTAAGCTTGCACGTCTAGCTTTGGGAATGTAATAAATAATAATAATACTTTTTCTTTTCTCAACCCCGGTGAACAGTACCCGCGGGTACTATTCCCGGGGGTACTATTCACATAAATAGTAACTTAGGGAATTTTTTTTTTTTTTTAATACCCCTGTGAACAGTACCCGCGGGTACTATTCACATAAATAGTAACTTAGGGATTTTTTTTTTTTCACCCGAGGGAACAGACCCTCGGGTACTGTGCATGAACAGTACCCCGCGGGTACTGTTCATGAATAGTAATAATAATTTTTTTTTTTTTTTTTTTTTACACCCGAGGGAACAGTACTTTTCCTTTTATAAGGGAATAAATTATACGAGTTTCGTCCCTTTAGTAAGGGAATTGAAATTTACGAGTTAATAAAGGATTTTTATTTACTATCCCTTATTGTAAGGGGATATTAATTATGGGATTCATCCAACCCAGGTCATTGTAGTCCAGGACATTCATTTATTATCCTTATATTACAGGAATATGGATTACGGGATTCATTTAACCCGGGTCCTGATAATACAAGATACTTATCCCCTATAGTCCAGGGATATGGATGACGGGATTCATTCAACCCGGGTCCTTGTAATACAAGACACTCATTTACTATTCCCTTTTAGTACGGGGATACGAATTACGGGATTCATTCAGCCCGGGTCCTTGTAATACAGGACACTCATTTACTATCCCTTATAGTACGGGGATACGGATTACGGGATTCATTTAGCACGGGTCCTTGTAATACATGACACTCATTTACTATCCCTTATAATACGGGGACACTGCACGTATAAACTAAAAGGAATTTTATTAAAGACCATCATTATTAAAAACAAAATAACACGTGATGGAGCTACCCTCCATTTAAACTGATTAACTAAGATGCCCCCAGTCTTTATTGTGAATGACTTGATAAGGCTAATTCCAGCCGCGAGACAATTTCTAGTCGGTATACTCATCTGAGTCATTCTCATGATATGTGCTGTCACTCTGGCTAAAGAACGATTTCTTATATTTGGTATTATTTTCATCCCTGACGAGAGGGGCTGGCCTCTTCTTGTCCTCTCCTTCCTTTCGTGCACTCATGGTGTCTTCAGCGTTGATGTGTTTTTGCGCTCTGACTAGCAACTCTATCATACTGGTGGGAGGTTCTTTTGATAAGGAGAACAAGAATCTGGAGGTTTGGAGTCCTCCTATGAAAGCGGTCAAAGCTACCTTGTCGTTCGCCTCTTCTACCTGCAACATCTCTGCGTTGAATCGGGTGATATATTCCCGAATCGACTCTTCCTTTTGTTGCTCCACAGTAAACAGGTAGGTAGCCGGCCTCCTATGCCTCTGACCTGCAATGAAGTGGCTCACAAACTGCTTACTCAATTCTTCGAAGGTGTTGATGGTTCCTGGCTTCAACTTGTTGAACCAAACTCTCGTTGATCCCTTAAGTGTAGTGGGAAAAGCTCGGCACATGATTTCATCTGGCACAACGTGTAACTGCATAAGAGCTTGAAAAGTTTCTAGGTGATCGAGGGGATCTTTGGTCCCATCGAAGCTTTCGAATGAGAGCATCCTGAACTTGCTAGGTAGTGGACATTTCATAACGGCGGGGCTGAAAGGCAAGTTGGTTCTTTGTACTAGATCGTCTACGGTGGCAGGACCTTTCCCTTTCATAGCCTACATTACATCTTCCATTTTCCCCTTGAGATCCTTGATCTGCAAGTCGAGATGGGTAACTTTCTTTGTCTTTTTCTTAAGACAGAAGGCTATGCTTTCAGGAGGTCGGGAACTCCGTAGGAGAGATAGGTGAACCACCTCTCTATGTCGGGTTCCCACCTGGCTTTGTTCCACTTCAGTCTCATTTTGGGGGGAATGATTATCCTTCTCTTCAAGATTTTCATTACCTCCGTTTGGACCGGAGATATCTTGTCCTGGAAAGTTTTGTTGAGCCGGTGGAACAAGGTGTTGCAAGAGCGTTGCATTTTGTTGGATCAACTGGTTCATACCCTGACTCAAAGTTTGAACCTGTAGTTCCAACGCTGCAAGCCGTGCCTGGTCGTTTGGGACGTCTAGGTTTTCACCCGACTCTACCCTTTGACCAGATCCCTGCGACGGTGTTCCTTCGGTAACCATACCGGACTGCAAACGTATATACCTAACGAGTAATTAATTGATTCAAGGGAATCGTGATTCCCATAGACGGCGCCAACTGTTGAGGCTGAAATTCGCGCAGTCCGATATGATACCGTTTTCCTGCAAGAAAGAGAGGAAAAGATTGATGAACCTTGACGGCACCGGTGTGGTGCCTGCCAAGAGCTCTCCGACGATCAAATTAGTCACGGAGGTCTAAAAAGAAGGTATGGATTAATAATAGTTTTTACGTTATACCTTCTTTAATGGCTTGATGCCCTATTTATGGCTGTCGATTGGAATCAAAACCGTTTCGCTGATATCGATGGTTGACCTTATCTTCCGCTTGTGCAAAATCATAAGAGATTTATTACCAGATTTGTCGGGATATGATTTAATCCTTTTGACCTCCTCTAGTTATAGTAGGATTATTCTTACTTGTTGAACCACGTCAGATTTGATTTCATTATCCTTGATAATGAAATATAATCAATCTTATCGAGGGTAGGATAGGTTTATATTTTTCCCTATCAAGGGCAAAATGTATAAGGATGGAATGAATGAAGTGTCGGAAACTATTCACAAGCACTTAACTCAGGCTTAACCCACATGACTCGAAGACAGAAAAGAAATATAATAAAATAATAAAAATAATAATAATATCGAAAAAGGAAAAGATGACACGGTTATCACACTTACGGTATTTGTATGATTTGAAGAATTTTATTAAACAGAAGTCAAAGAAAAAAAAAAGTTTGAAATTCATTTTTATGTTCAATTGCTTGAAATTAGAATGGAAAAAAAATATAATTAATTAATTAATTTTTAGTGTTTTCTAAAATCTGTTAATTGAAATAAATTTAAAATAAGACCAATTTAAAAAATAGAAGTTAAAATGCTCACACCAAAAGAATTTGCAAAACCCTGGTGTTTTTGTGTCTTTTTTATTTTTTGTAATTGTAGTGAGAAGCAAAGTGCCAGAGACTTGTTCGAGATATTTTTTTTTGGTCCCCGATATCTAAAAATTATTATATGTTCTCACTATCCTTTTACAAACAGGGTTAAATTCCTAGAATTTAAATCTTATTCTCTTTCTTGAATTTTTTTAAATAAAATTTATATTAACAAATAACAATTACGAAGCAAAAGGAAAAAAAAGAAAACTGCACCTATATAGAGATAGTAGGAATTTTTTTAAGCCCCGTTTGTTTGGATGTAAAATATATATATATAACTTTTATTTTTTTGTGTTTGTTTGTCATAAAATATTTACAAAGAAAAAAATATTAAAACTTAACAAAAAGTTATTTTACACGATGAGCTCGACTTCAATCTCGATTTAAACTTTGTCAAATATTAAAATAAAAAAAAATTTATTTTTCAAAATTCTATATTTTTCAAAAAACTATATTTTTTTTTTTAAAAATATTTTAAGTCCGAATATTACTATAAATATAAATATTTTTAAAAAATAATTTTTTATAATTCTCTTAAAATAATTTTCTATTTTGTAATTTCTTTGATAATTATTTCAAATTTATAAACTAAACATAACCATTAATTTTTCCCAAAGCTGCTCCCTCTGGATGCAATCAAAAAGTTAAGAGCTCAAAAGTCAATAAAATAATCACGTTTGATTTTAGGTCAAAAGTCAATAAAATGAACACGTTTCATTAAATATATATCTTTTGTTGCTTTCCTGTCTGCTTTAGATAAGAGTAAGTTAAAAGAAAATTAAAATGTCACTGTTTTACTATATATTTTAATCGAGTAAGTTAGAAGAACTTGGAAAAAAAAAAAAAAAAAAAAAAAAAAAAAAAATCGAACCCCAAGTTACAAACTTGCAATATGAATCATAAAAAATGTCAAACCAACTTAACAAAGCAACCCGCAATCATCCACAGCTCTCTCTCTCTCTCTCTCTCTCTTCTCTCTCTCTAAAACTCAACTCATTTCTTCCATAGATGGGGAGAATAACGACACTCAGAGATTTCATAGGCGTTATCAAGGACAAGGCTTCACTATCCAAGGCAGCTCTACTTCCCAAACCAAACACCCCTTCTCTTTCACTCCACCTCGCACTCCTCCGAGCCACCACCCACTCTCCCTCAACCCCGCCTGAAGACAAGCACCTCTCCACGCTCCTCTCTCTCGGCGACAGCTCACGCGCCACTGCCTCCGCCCTCATCCAGTCCCTAATGGACCGCCTCCACCGGACCCACCACTCCTCCGTCGCCCTCAAGTGCCTCCTCACCATCCACCACATCATCAAACGCGGCCCCTTCATCCTCCAGGACCAGCTCTCCATCTTCCCGGCATCCGGCGGCCGCAACTACCTCAAGCTCTCCGCCTTCCGTGACGGCGCGTCCGCCACCACGTGGGCCCTCTCCGCGTGGGTCAGATGGTACGCGCGCTACCTCGAAACCTTCCTCTCCACGTGCCGAGTTCTGGGTTTCTTCCTATCTTCAACCTCGAGTATCGTGGAGAGAGATAAGCAAGAAGAGAGAGTCTCGTCATTCACGAACCTTGATTTAATTAGAGATGTTGGTTCGCTGGTTGCAGTGATCGAAGAAATATGCAAAGTACCTGATTCTATCCTCGTTGATGACAACAAATTAATTAACGAGGTGGTAGGTCTGGTGGGTGGTGACTATTTGTCTGCGGTTAACCAAGTTTTGATACGAGTCACCGAGTTTATGGAGAGACTGAGTTGTCTGAGTTTCGGTGAGTCGGTCGAGTTGGTGTGTGCTTTGAAGAGATTAGAGGATTGTAAAGAAAGGTTGATGGGTTTGTTTACTAGTATTAGGAAGGCTTCAATGGAGACGTTGTGGGGATTAATTGAAGAGTTGATTGATAGAATTGGGATGATGAAGCCGTACACAAGTGATGGAGGGAAGTTGTTAACTGTGGGAAGGGGAAGTGAGTCGGCTCGGTTTGGAGACCGAGTTTTGAATCAGGGTGACTCGGTTCGATTCTCCTCTGTAAGGTTTGACTTGAACTAGTTTTCCTTTTTAGTGACTTGTGTTTGTGTTTGTAGTTAAATTCATTATTAATTTCTTTTTGTATATCAACTTTTTTAAATGTAAGCATGGTAACATTTGTATATAGGATTGGTGATTTTGTTTGAATTAAATACTCATTTTTAAATTTATTTAGTTATTATTATTATTACTATTATTATTATTATTTTTTACCATACTTACGCAAACTCAAATACAGTATTTAATTTTGAATTCCATGCAACCATCCATTGAAGATCACAATCTGACATTTTTTCCTTTAGCCCACATATGAGGAGTTGTTCCTGTGCATTGATTGAGCATAAAAAATAGATTGAAATTTTCTCTTCGCAATTCTTTTGAAAAATAAAAGGGAGAATCTGTTTTTTTTTTTTTTTTTTCATTCATCAAATAAAATTGTTTATTTGAGTTTGGATATATGTTGGTTATTAATCAAGTTGGTATAACGTCTCTTCCTTCGAAGGTGAGGTTTGAGTTGAAGAATTTCTAACATAAAAAAGATAAAAAAAAGTACTAGTAATAAAAAAGAAAGAAATAATGAAGAGAGTACAAGAAAATGATTTGATTTGGTTGATCGGTGGATTTTAAGTAGGGAACAAGTACGGTCCGAGAAAAGAAAGAGGTGGGAAAAAGATGTTACAAAAAAAAGACAAATATATACCCTTCCGTTTCAATTTAGTTGTTTATTATTTTTTTTTATTGTCCTAAAATATTTGTTTACTTATTAAATTTAAATAACATATTTTATGTCCCTTTAAAATATTAAATTTAAGTAACAAATTATTATGACAAATTGACAATAACATAGGTGAAGTAAGATGGTGTTGATTTTGTCATAATACGACTATATTATGAAAAAAATTAGGTGGAAGAATTGAAATAATTAGGTGTAGCAGGTGCTTAAATTTTTATTTTTACTAAAGAAATTTCAACTCAAATCAGATTAATTATTTACACCCAAAGTATGATTTGAAAACTTCAAAAATCCAAAGAACATGTCCAAGAGTGAATTAGTCTTGGCACATGTCTAAGACTGATTAGTATTGTTAAAGAGGTTGTTAGTACTTCAACGTTACATCTAATTTAGCCAAGTCTCTAGATTGAACTATATACCAGCGACCCAAGCCTCATAAATGCTGTCACTAATGAGATAAATAAGCTAGACCTTCCTCATTAAAATAACAAATGGAACCAATACTGCACTTCCACCTGTCTACTCCATAAATAAAGTTTACGATTTATAAATGCCTACTTCATTTCTTTATATATAAATATCTACCTTATATTATTGTTAATGAAATAAATGTGGTGCCACAGCTGTCACAATTCATTTGTATGCACACCACTTGTCCATGAAAAATCAATATTCTAAGTAGGGGTGGGGAATGGGCATTGGGCACGTGGTGTGGGACTGGCTGTGTAATGATCACAATTTATTTATTTATTTATTTTTGACAAATTAGGGGTGGGGGAGAAAAACTTAATTGTATCAGTGAAATGTGTCATTAACAGATTAGATCCTGATATGTAGTGATAGGGTCCATTAGCATAAAACATTTTTACTTATGTGACATGATACAATTAGTTAATGACAAAAGATAACGAAGTATTTAAGGTGCAAAAAAATTTTTCTAGGGGAGGTGAACTCAAGCATGGTGTCACGTTCCGATTCCTAACGACGCCATGAGCATAGAAGAAACGCATGCTGGTTGGCTAAGAACATTCATTGACTGGGAATGGTTTCAGGGAAAGGGCGTGCAAGACCACAAGATGGTACCTTTTCAGAGTTCAAGCAGGTCGACTCGATTCAGTTTGAGGTGCTTGTCGCTAGTCATGGACTTGACTATGAAGAAGGGAGTTGGTCATCCCTGCACAAACTGGTCGGGAGCTGGAGTCGTTCCCCTGATGAGATCAAAGCAGGTCGAAACCAGTCAGCATGTATCCTTGGGAGGGCAGGTCGTGGTGGCTGATCAGGGTGCTTGCGTGAGCTGAAGCAACACCTTGATGCCGCACGGGCCGTGCCGCTGCGCCAAATCTCTAGGCCCGTGACAAATGGTATCAGAGCAGGACTTGGGGTAAAGCACAGAGGTGTGTCCCCTTGTCGATCCGGGGGTCTTGAGAATGAAGACAGTGCACTGAAGTTGCGTTGATGAGAAGGAATCAATGCAGTTGGGGGGAGAGCCTCCATCTCCCCAGGAAGAGGTGTCCGTTGAAGTTGCGCACTGGAGGGCCGGAGGGCCGCGTGCACCAAAGTTCGTGCGAGCTCCTTGGGTGATGCAAACCGTGGTGAAGGGCAAGCATCAAGTCGGTAGGAAGCCCTTGCTTGCTCGGGATGTCGCGGAGGCGGCATGACGGAGAAGAGTCACGTCCTTGAGGAGTGGACGTCCCCTTGGTCTGAGCCCTATCATTGGGCGAGTGCAGCCAGGGGTTGTACAAGGAAGCGATGGTGGGCAGGCGAGCATACTACTTGGAGGAGAGAGACTTTGGAATGTTGGACACAGCGGAGTCAGCACCGCACTGTGATGAGGGCGTCGCAGGATTTGGGTCGGGGAGAATGTCACGTTCCGATTCCTAACGACGCCATGAGCATAGAAGACACGCATGCTAGTTGGCTAAGAACATTCATTGACTGGGAATGGTTCCAGGGAAGGGACGTGCAGGACCACAAGATGGTACCTCTTCAGAGTTCAGGCAGATTGACTCGGTTCAGTTCGAGGTGCTTGTCGCTAGTCGTGGACTTGACTATGAAGAAGGGAGTTGGCCATCCCTGCACAAATTGGTTGAGAGCTTGAGCCGTTCCCCTGATGAGATTAAGGTAGGTCGAAACCAGTCAGCATGTATCCTTGGGAGGGCAGGTCGTGGTGGCTGACCAGGGCGCTTGCGCGAGCTGAAGCAACGCTTTGGTGCCGCACGGGCCATGCTGCTGCGCCAAATCTCTAAGCCCATGACACTGGGCACACTTGCTCCGGGAGGTGGACACTCTACTCGACTAGATCACTTGGGTAACGCATGTGTAATAATCATGATAACCCAAGCTTGGTTTTGCCCTGCCTTAGACCTAAGATAGTTAGCCCAAGTGTGATGAGGTATAGTTGTTGGGCCAAGCCCAGTTGAATTATACGCCTCCTAGAAACCGAATTTGCCCATACGTGGCTTGGGCCAATAAAAACAACAAATACAACAGGACCTATGTCATATGCCCAACCGGGTCAAATTTCAAGCGCGGAAACTGTCTCGGTGGGTTACTAGCATAGGAATGCCTACGGCCCAGCTTTATCTTTTGTGGGCGAATTAATTTTAAAATAAAGTAAATTACAATTCTGGCCCCACTCTTTGGGAGCAAATAATATAATATTTTTTATTTATTTATCCTGACAAGGATGAAACAAGGATTTAGAGATTACAATTCTAATGATTCATGAAAAATATAGTTCTTGTTCCGACTTTCACAGCTTCATAATTCATCAACATTATTTATTTTTCTGTGATTATACTCACACACACATTATCTACCAACATCATTTCTTAGTCCATTAAAGGCTTATGTTACCCAACACATTAGAAAATTGTAGTCTTTATATGTCTTACTATGTCACCTTTTTTATTATTTTTTTTAAAATAATGATTAAGTTTATACATTTTTTTTTTTTGGTTTTCCGATAAAGTTTATAAGTAACTTCACCGAAAAACAAAAATTAAATAATGACAAAGCTAGGGTTTGCGTTTTGGATTTTTTGTAAACCGGATTAGAAGCGGGTAATAATAGTTCTAGTCATAGCGACTTTGAATTTAACATTTGCAAGCTTCAGAGACCTACAATGACCATGCCAAATCACTTGGCGCCTATAATCAATCTTAGATATAGCCTATAGGACAGAGACCTGATCCAGAATTAACCTTATATCAAACACCACGTTAAGCATGACAGCACAAATCATTGAAACTCAACTGACAGTCGAAACAATTGCCTTTTCTTTTCGAATCAGACCTTCAATTACTAATCTGCATTCTTGAAAATGTGATTTTATTGCACTAGTCATATCCTTTAGTTACAATGAAGTAATTATTTTTACATCTCGACTTACCCCAATAAAAGATTGCAGTAAAAACACCATACCAATGACATTAGCTAGATAATTTAAAGATAGCTTTTTGTAACTATTCTTGATTAATGCTTGCCCACTTCTTTACATGCATGCCTGCTTTCTCTGCCTGCAATTCCAATCCAAAACATGTCTAAATTAATTGAGATCAACATGAATTTACTCATATTTTCAATATAAAAAGCCAAAGTAGCACGACGGTATTCGCTGGTTAATTCAATTGTTTTTACCTCTTTCTCCCAGTCACATCGAATGGTAATGAGGGCCAATATCAAGGTTTGAACACCGGTCCCTCCAAAGATCATTCCAGCCCAAATACCCTAATTAGTGAACACATCCATTTTCACATGAACTATAATAAACCATTTTTCAAATTAACAAAATCACATTCAGAAATTGCAAAAAACATGGTTCACACCGTGACGCCTTGGTGAAAAGTCCATCCCAACATAATTCCGAGGGGGACTCCGATCACATAATAGCAAGCTAGATTTATGTATGCAACATATGATTGCCACCCTGATCCCACAGCAACCCCTGCAAATGAAAGAAAATGCCTCTGTTAAATTGTGACGGGAAAATAAAAAAAGAAAATAAAAAAAAGAGTAGGAATTGTTACCGGAGAGAACTGGTTGAATACTATTGAGGAGAATTGTGAACGCTAAGAGGACTCTGAGCTTGTCTACCATTTCGAGGATGGGTTGGCTAGACGAAAATATTAAGGCAAAATTATGGTTGAAAATCATAATCAATAACCAGAAGAAAAAACCTATCACAGTGGATGTTGCCACAGACACAATCGCGGCAAATTTGGCTCCTTTTCCATTGCCAGCTCCAAGCTCGTTTGCCACCCTCACTCTGTCATATATCATCACAAATATTTTATATAAGCATCTGCCTATATTATCAATTTTCTAATTATGTATGCATCTAACTAATTATTGAAATAAAAGTCCAACAGAGCTAGCCTGACCCCAAACTGACCCATATTATTATTATTATTAAAATCTTAGTAAACCAAGAGCAATTAGCTTATCAAGCCCAAGCCTAATCCAACAAACACAAGTCTTAACTTGTTTATAATTCGACCAAATTGAATTCAACCTAAGCTTTGAAAAGTGAGCTACCTTGGACTCATGTTGGAGGTTGGATTGGGCTTAGTGGTCCCCTTTGTCCTCGGTCACCTTGGGTCTTAACTACAAGGCCTTAGGTCAATGTTTGGTAGAGAGGAGAAGAAGAAGAAAAAAAAGAGTTTAAATTGGGCTTAGATTTGGATTTAGGGATTCATACCCAAAGTTGAGATCAGGCTGGGCTGGAGTTGATTCATCAAACAGTTTAACACATCTTAATTGCAACCATGCTAGAAGATTTTAATGAAACACATACCTTGGCTGACTAGAGTACCATTGAATGCTATATAGTACATGTGAGGACTCTCTGAATTTCTGAAATGTTATCATTTCTCATATAATTTGTATGAGTAGTGATATTCAGCGAGATGAATTTGGCAGAATTTCTTAATAGAATGCCCTTGATTGGTTATTTATACAAGAGATAAGTAAGTAGAGAGTGTATAGAACCTTATATTTTACATACATTGACCAATTAAAAGCATTCTGTCTGCCAAACTCCTTACTTTAAAATCATTTTCCAATTTGTATAGTAGATTTCAATTTTCCGTATAGTATATGATTGAAATTGGGCCCAATAAGATAATAAGTGGTGGTGGTTCATAGTTACCCAGTGGCACCAAAAAATGCCAGAGGAATCATCATTTCCCAGCCATTAATGCTCATGCTGCCAAATTGGAGCAAAACAAAAACGAGTCATAAATCAATAAGAGATAAGAGATAAAGAGATAATGCTAAGGTTAGTGCATGTCAGCAATGTCAAACGCACTATGAACCAATCCATCAACAACCCACTAGCAACAATGTGATCAATAGTTATACCAATTTTGTTTAAGGATTATAACTTCAAATTTTACACCAAAAGGACACTAGCCATGCCCGCAATAACAAAGACCTCGTGCAGTGGACCAACACTATATATATTCAAGATTGCAAAATATAACTAAAATGAAAAGATCATAAAGGATTAATGGATACCAGATAGACAAAGCATCCAAGGCCACCTCTGCATTCTTCAGGTTTCCGGCCATCAATATCAGTACTCTGTAGTACCAATTCTCCAAGCTGTTAATTAATATTATAAGATCAAACATTCACATAATTTAGAAAGAATACTGTTATATGCATTTATCAAGAGAGATTACCATACCATACCATGACCCCAGAAGCAGCAGAGAGTTTGATGAACTCCCAGAGACCAAAAAAAGCTTGAAAGGTGAAACCAGACCAAGTAAGAGGACACCCACCAAACACACAATAACCCAACAACCCAAACGCTAAAACCCACCAAGAAAAACTCAATGTAACAGCAGTACCAATCACTCCTAGCTTAAATCCATACACAAACAACCAACTCACAATCACATGCACCACAAGTGCCACCAAAGACACCCATGCAAGCACAGCTGTTTTAAGCTGGCTCTGCAAGAACCTCTGCAATGGAAACACAAATGCAAAACTCAAGTGAAGTGGGACAATCCACATAGCCACTACCCCAGTTAACTCTGCAACTTCTGAAGGCTGTCCCAACAGCTTCAAGATTGGAGAGGCAAATATAAATATAGGCAAGATTAGAATACAACAAATGAAGAGAACAATCCATGAACGCTGCATATATACACCCAACATTTCGTATTTCTTTGCTCCGAAAGCTTGCCCACATAGCGTCTCCAAAGCACTTGCCATTCCCAACTGAGAAACAAAATTTAACACTTTAAATTCTGATGGAGTGGAAGTTATTAAGGTTTACAAATGAACAATAGACAACTTTGATAAAGTTAACTCTGACAATACTAGGAATTTGAGTCCATTTAGACATTCAGAAAAAACCTCTAAATATTCAGTAACACAAATATCAAGATTTCAGACTCCTAAACAACAGAATTTTGTCAAAAAGTATCGTTGTAAAGTAGGAAGCCGCTGAGTTTTATGAATTGACCCATTTTTTAAAATTAGAAATTAGTCTTTTCAGTCAAACCAGACTCATCCCCCAAAAGTTGTTTTTTTCTGCAATCAGTTCTACATCGAACATACAAAGTTACAAACAAACATAAATATATATATATATATATAATAGAGAGAGAATACCAAGAGGCCAAAATCAAAGCCAAGGATAACATTGTAGGCAATGGATATTGCGGCAAGCTGGAGATCGCCAAGGTGGCCAGCAAAGGCTTGGGTGACGACCACCATGGAGTAGGAGGTGAGGCGACTGAAGATGGTTGGACCCACTATGTGCCACAGCTTCTTTGATTCGGAGCAGATCTTCCATGAAAGTGTTTCATGGTGATCATATTCTTCTGTGTCATTTGATCGTATGGTTGAGTGTGAATCAGCTAATAAGGGAAGCTTTGATTCCCTTCCTACACCTCTGCTTGCCATATTCTTCGTGGTGTCTGTTAATGTCTGCTTCGTCTGCCAAAGGCAACGCTTTGGTAATGCCGTGGGTGGTGGCTTTAAAATAATAGTAACTAATAATCATCAGCATTTGATTTTAGTTGCTATAGGCCTACGGCTTTGTAACTGTATCATTTTGTAATAGGAGTGATCAAAGCCAATTATATAAAGCTGTCACTCACTTCCCTGATGTGTGGACAAATTACACATGGTAGAACCGTTCGCTGGCCCGACTGCCGAAAAGTAACTTTAATGTCCTCGTATTATAATAATATATTATATTATTATAAAATCTTCACTATGTGTAAAATCGGAGATTACAAGTTTCAGCCCTTTACACTTTCTCTATATACAATTTTCAGTACATTGATAAGTACCCCTTATTCTTACATATGTTTGTACCTTAATCTATCTTTGTTTATCTTTTTAGTTCTAATTTACTTTATTTCCGATTTCAGGTGTTTCAGGGTAAACAAGGCTAAATCCAGTGTTTTAAAGCTTCTATATGCCGAATGAAGTCTTGGCGAAGAGTGGCAAGCAAAAGTGGGTTGAAGTGCAGAATTTACTATTCAACTTGATTGATCGAGTACTGTTTGATTCTCGATCGATCGAGTATTGTTCGTGTAACGACCCAAATGGATACCAAAATAATAATAAAAATCTATAAAAATTTCGGCATGACCTCCGCAAAAAATGTCTCTAAACAAACTGTTGAAATACAAAAAAAATAAATACAATGGCCTCACTGGGCCTTAAATCTAACATATCCTGTCCCAATGCAATATACATATATAATATCACATCTCCAAAGTGACTACATACATACAAAATCCCATTCCTCCATCTCATCCAACAAGGAACATAATTTGGTTACATCAAGTTACAGTCCAAAAAGCGTAGTTAGAATTTAAAAGTCCATGGCTTACAACATTATATTAATTAAACTAAAGTTTTACGAGTTAGTTAATATTACATTTACAAAATATTAGAGAGTTTTAATACAAAAGATAGCAAAAAAAAATAAAATAGGTCTCCGTGCTCGTCTAAAATCGTGGTGGATCGTCGTCCGCCACCTCTTTTCCATGTCCTGAAAAATGTTAGAAATAATGGGGTGAGCATTAGCTCAGTAGGAAGTGTCTAAGACACACTTCTTATATCCCCGTGAATCTATACAATGAATAGATAAAAAAGTGAAAGGGATCATGCTATAAGGAAACACACACACTCAAATACAATAACAAGTATGTAACAAATACCACCCAATCACAAGTTTACCACAATGTCATGAAGTGCAATATGCAAATGTTACTCCCCATTTTCCGAAACATTTCCGTTTCAACTTCCAAAACCGTTAGTGTAATCCGACCCAAGGCACCTCCAAGGCGTCACGAATGGAGGGTTGACTAACTATCCACGACCACAAGGCACCTTCAAGGCGTCGCATCCGGCCTAGTTAGCTCAACCATGATCCCTTTTAGACTACACTAACACCACGGACCACTAGGCGCCTCCTAGGCGTCTGGTTTTCGCAAACTCCTTTAAAAAAAATATTTTCCCCAAAATAATTTCGTTTGTTCAAAAAAACATTTTTTTTCCCCTTTCTCTTTCCCAATGAATACATGAATGCGCATGCTTCAATTTATCAATTCAACCATAGGCTTTCATACATTCCATTTAAATCATCATCACAATTTAATAGAAATTTATAAGCATTCATTTCTTTTATTTATTTATTTATTTATTGACCATAGCATCATTTTCTTTCAAAGTAATAAATAAATACATAATCTTAGGACATATAACATGTCAACACCAAACATGCTCAATCACCGTAATAAATCTAGTCATATATATGAATTCAAATAATACATGGAACACATTTAGCATTTTAGTTAAACATGCTTCAACCACAAACTAGATAATCAAAATTAGCATGCTTAGGATCAAATTTAAGGGGCAAAATTCACAAAAAGAGCTAAGAAGTTGTAGATTAGAACACCCTTACCTCAAATTGATGAAAACCCCCAATTTGAGCCCAAGAACCCTAGAATTTTGAACTCCCTAGAGTGCACCAAATGATGATTGGCTCCTATCAAATTAACGGGCTCGACGAGCTCAACAACTTTGCTTCATAATGTTCAACCAAAATCCAATTAGTGAAGATGAGATCAAAGCTTAAAATTACAAAAAGAGAAAAAGAAAAGAGATGCCGAGAGAAGGCCGGAAGCAGAGAGAGAGAGAGAGAAATATATGTCTACATAATGGCCTTATGGCCTTTAGTCATGTTTTTAAGTTATTGGTGGGGCCCACCTACTTTTGAAAAAAATCTTAACTTTAATATATATACATATACATATATATATATATATAAGCATAACTATTACAGTTCGAGTCTCGATCAATCAAGCACTGTTCGAGTCTTGATCGATCGAGCACTTAACTCGATCGTCGAGTTCGAAGCCGAGGCTCTTCAACTTCAGATCTGGAGTTCTCTTGATGACTAGCCCGTGGTGCACTCAAATGATAAGCCTTGTGTACGAGTTCTAACCATTTTTGGAGCCCAAGGATCAAGTATAAAAGGGGATTCAAGCCATTTTGCAAAGGGAGACTTGAATTGGTTTTGATTTTGGGAGCTCTCTACATTTTCTCTCTAGGGTTTGCTCTCGAGGATTAGAGAAGAAGCTTTGGTAGTGCTAGGAGATGGAGTTTGAAGCTTCAAGGATCGTCTTTAGACCTCTCCATGGCTAGCTAACTTCTCTCTTAGGGTTTGGATGAAACCCTAAGCTCAAGTAAATTGTATCTATTGTATTCAATTTGGGGAATTCTTCATGGATTGTATGACCTTGTGTATTCAATTTGGTTGTACCGAAAATAATTGTTCTTAATTGCTTCAATTGATCTTCTCCTAATCTCTATATTGTCTTATATATTGGTTGTTGATGATTAATCTCTTCATCATTTACTTTTTGTAAATGTAATTGATGATGGTTATGCAATAGTGTTAATTGGATATGATTGCATACAACTTGATTTGATGATTTGTACTACAATTTTAGAGTAAAAGTAGGTAAGTGGACAAATCATACTTAGCTTTGATGATTCATGTTTTTTGATGTCAACTTAGTATCATCTTGACTTCAATTGTGTGCAGCCACAATCTCATTTTGGACATTTGATTTCCCCAAAATTTGGATGCAATTGGTATAGTTACAAGGGCTTAGAGGTGAATTCCATACCCTGAGTATCTCTCTCTCTCACTCTTACCTTATCTTGATCGTTGCTATTTCATTTCCTTGCATTATCATTTGTTTAAGTTTAGCATTAGTTATAATCAAACCAAACGATCCTTTTAATCTCATTTTCATTAATGTTAAATTTGATTCAAGCCTATAGTCCTTGTGTTCGATCTCTACTTGCTATACTATATTTAGTGACAATGATACATATAAAAATATAAGATTGTTTGCTTCAACACTCTACCACACTGTTAATCATTCAAATTGAGTTTGACAAAGAAGCACATCACACACTCCAAACCCTAAGCGTCCTTATATATCGAGTTACAAGAAGAGAGTACTAATTAGGTTCATGACCCATGAACAAAAACGGGTCAAAAATTTCCCAACAGGCCCACATAAAGGCTCATCCAACGCGACCCGGCACCAAATTCGGCCCACAAAATGCTTATCCGACAGGTCGCCGCACCAAATTCGGGCCACAACATCACAATCCCTTTATCAGGGAAAAAGGAAGATAAATCTTTAAGAATGTATTCCCCACCTGAGTAAGACCGGAGGGCCTTGATTTTTTTGTTGAATTGAATTTCCATAAGATTATTGAATTTTTTGAATGCGGACAAAACCTCAAATTTATAACGAAGAAAATAAATCCATATAAACCGTGAGTGTCATCAATGAATGTGACATAGTATTTATAACCTAGCCTACTGAATTTGGGTGCAATTCCCTAAACGGCTGTATGAATAATGTGAAAAGGACCATTATGTCAAGAGAAATGAATCGGAAATGGTAAAACATAACTTTTACTTGAACAACGGGACATATATTTAGACCGTAACAAATAAGTACACTTTTTGTTATTCAAAGAACAATTCAAATAACCACACTTGAATAAAAAATAAAGTTTATCATTATTCAAATGACCAAGACACCCTGTGTTCCTCTATGGTTTGATGTGCCAGACCAAGTTTGGACAGGTAAGGATGTTTTTTATAATCATCTGCGTGTTTTTGGGTGCAAAGCATTTGTGCATATTCCAAAAAATGAAAGGTCTAAACTTGATGTGAAAACACGACAGTGTATATTCCTTGGCTATGGCCAAGATGAGTCCAAATGGTCCATAAATTATTCTGAGAGCTAACAGATTACGCAAGCAATGCTCCAAGTCCCACGTCCAACAGAAACGTTCTCCCACGTTTACTCCCTATCCCGATCACCTTTCCCGTTTGCCAGTCCTGTATCACACAACTAGAAGATGTAAATTGAACCGTGTAACCATTATCAAACAATTGTCCCACAAATAATAAATTAGCTGATAAATTAGGAACAAAGTAAACATTAGACAAATTAAGAAATTGATTTTGGGGAGTAGAGAGGGTGATAGAACCAATACCAAAAAAAAGCCATATTCTGGCCATTTGCAATCTGAATATTTTCAGTTCTAGTATAAGGATAAGATTTGTCAAGGCTATAAAGTCATATGGTTAGACGCACCCAAGTTAATAACCCAAGAGGAGGGAGAATTAAATGTAGAAGATGAAGTTGAGTTGTACCGACCATTGCCATGGAGGTAAAGACAGATGCAACAGAAGCATTAATCATCTCTCGAATCTAATTAAATGTCAAGAGAATGGCCTGGGAGGAAGACTTGTTAGTAGAAGTAGGATCAGCTTGGGCATAGAAGGCAACTGGATCAGCTCGGTTTTCCTTGGTATTCCTTGGTAGACGTCTTCGACGCTCAGAGATTATATGCCCAAATTTCTAGCAGTAATTGCAGAAGTTCTTTTTGCAATAGCGAGCAATGTGGCCAAAATCCTTACATTCAAAACACTATTGATTTGCTATTAGTAGAAAGAAGAGCTGTCTCGCTTAAGGCCAATGC